TAGATTTCATTTATCTTCGTTAGGTGACTAAATGATGTTACCGCTAAAAAAGATGGAATCGTTTCATCAAGATCGGAAGACCCCGTCATCCAGTCACCTCTACACAAATATTTTACAAGAATCCCACCAGAAAGGAGAGAAAAAAAAAAAAAACTAAATTACGTTGTTGAAAATATGAACAAAATAAAACATTGTTTACGAGTGAGCTCTAAGTACGTTCGTTCGTTCGTGAGATCAGTTGACTTCGTGCGCTTTATAGGAGTTAGCAAGAGCGTCCAGTACTTGCCATTTTTAGTTTTTATTAAAAACAACAGGGACGTGTTTTAACGTAACGCTGTTCTTGAACCAACCGCCGAAGTGTATGAATAACTTAATAGACAATATGCTAGAAATAGAGACCCGGTTCTCGAAGAAATTTCAACTACAATTTACCCATAATCAATTTCAGAGCGCGACAGAGCTAACAGTCGGACGTGTCTGTAAGGGACGAGCTTGCTTAATTGCTATCCGCCTATGGGGACTCACGCTATAAACACTGAGGTTGCCCATAACTACCACAACTGAGAGCAAAACAAGGTGTACGTATGGTATGATATTTACTCAGCAAACGAACACAGGAAATTAAACGCCTACCTTACATAACTTAAAGTAGCGACGACAAAGACACCAGTGTGAGTAACATTGAAATTTAAAATCTGCTGAAGCCAAGTAGAAAAGAAGCCTCTTGTTGAGTCGACAAACTCTCGAAAGGACAACTCGAGCTACTTACATTGCAAATTGTATTGTTTGCCAAAGATCAGGCCCGAATAACTTTGTTTTCAACGAACCGGAAATCTATGTTTCAATAGAATTTTCAATTAAATGCATATACATGTGGCCTTCAGACAGCACTACACCGACATTCTGTTTTACGTGATTACTACTTTAGTATATAGCTGGACAATTTATACTGTGCGAGATGGCATAAACGGCAGTGATAGTACGCCCGATGTAATAGTAGCAGCATCAAAGCTGCCCCCTGAAACTGAAGTTAGTTTTGGTTGAAATCAAAATTGATGCTACTATAGAGTATAGTATCATTTACTATTATTTGGGATTAGCAGGCCATTCATTGCACGTACGTAGGCATATTTCCGAATGAGCTCATCCCAAATTGTATGTAAGCTCTTAGCGAATGAGGTCTCGTTAGCCCTGTACACGAGCTGTTTCCTGGGAAGTGAGCCGAATTTCTTTGGACTTGTCAGTGGCACGCCGTTCGCTGTTACACCCAACATGACCCTATTAAAGACAAACTTTTTGCGGACAAGTTATATAATATGAACACCGTATCGTTACTATCCCCTTAGAAATCAACAAATGAGATACCTATGATTTCTGAATCACAGTTGGTCGCACTTTTCGCGATTGCCCTAACACGGCCATCGCTCGTTGTTACCTAGATTTATATATAACTATACACGCGTGTAATTAAACAGTTAGTTATAATTTCTATATGCTTATGTGTAAGATACATTATATTTTTAAGTAAACAACTACGTTGTCTGCAAGGTTGGTTCAGACAACAAACGCTTCAATTATTGAATAAAATTATTGCTTTTTTTTTTTTTTTTTTAATAATTCAGCTAGTGATAGGTATTTTCGAGAAAATGCTGAAGAAGTGCTAACAAAAAATAACCAAGGCAAAAAAACTCTCGATAGTCTCCACTGAATAACACATTTGTAGATCATACATTCTGGGCAATTGTTATTAATTTTCCACAGACTGCTTTCTTATTACGTATCAGAATGGTGCGCGAGATCGCTGACTATCGACGGGGCGTCATCAGCTCGGGCATTTAAAGCTGATGACGTTTCGGTAAGGTATTCCAGTATGCTTTAACATGAAGTAGCAGAGCCCTAACCTATAGCCGTAAGCTTTATCTAGGTCAACGATTGATTGGTGATATATCGTTGGCGTTCCATTGGCGTTGTATGTCGAAAGTCCCGCCATAGGTAGGTAGCAAAATTTTCAGCTAAAAAACCAGCAACTTGGTTTATGTAATTACAATGGAGCATAACAAACGTGTTTAGAAACGAAAAATGCACTCCTTCATTCCACATTGTGCTATGCTTCTGCAATTCTAGACAGCGATAACTTCTTTAAGTTGAAAAGCATGCAGAGCTAAGCCGATCAGATATAAATTTGCGTCAAGTAATTAACGAGAGTCGACAGTGTTTCTAAAGTTGTAGTGTTGATTTTCCTCTGAAAGGGTGAACGTTAACGCTAGGACGCCTTTCCAGCTAAAGCGAGAACAAAACGTTTCCTTTGCTGTTTCAAAAAGCTCTCTATTGGATGGCTGTGATAACGTTAGATTAAAATCGATTTGAAGTGTAGATACATGGGTGAAGTTAATCTGGCATGTTAAACGAGGGCTACATTCTATGATGTACAGTGTATAATACAGCATAGGGTGTATATTTTATATAATTTAAACTTTTTGCTATTGGTGTTTAGGCGCAAAATAAATTAAGACTTGGGAGAGGTATTTAACGAATGATTCGAATTTCACGCCGCCAAAATGGATTTAAGCTGTCTGACTAAATTCATTTTAATACGTAAAGCTATCACCAAAAACTCAGTACCGAAATTTGCCAAACCGCAAAAAGAGGCAGTATATGTCCAGTAAATGACCTAACGCCGGTCCTCGAGCTGGTGCATGCGAATAGATGGACCTGTTACAAAGAAAAAAGACCTTTCCTGTAACGTTTAATTACTTTTCGATATTGTTACATTTGCTTTACTCTGAGCAAATGAGATTTGGCCAGCTAACCAAGTAACAATGGTAGCAGGGAGATCAATAATGCTATCGTTTCTTAAAATAGTAAATTCTGAGTATACTTACGAAAGCTGAAAATCCCGAAAGATGGTGTAGGGCTTTTGCATTGGACGAATTACTACCGTATTCTGCTTAGGAAAATTCATCTTGTCGATTTCCTAATTTATCGGTATATCGCTGAGATTATGGAAAAAATATTATGACATATTAAGTATATAAGAAAGTAATCACAATTAAGTAATAAAACGTTGAAGCGCACTCACTTACATAGGCATTGACAGTTCCATAACAAGATTGCCAGTTTGATGGCTTTTTGTTTGCCTCAAAGCAATTGCCACTCTGTCAATAACTATTCACAACAGCCGTGGCTGGCCGCATGGTCAAAAAATACCTGACAGCATCTGAGAGCTAGCGTAACACTAGAGCCCTTGATGCAGGTATCCGCTTGTATTAACGGAAAGCTCCGGGCGGTATCGACCGTAAGCCGCGTATCTGCAGCGCCGTAGACAGACCATGCATGTGCTTAGAATGTGCTTATGGGATGTGCTATAGTGTGACATGTATTGAGACGCACCGGTTTGCCGCAGCTTTCAAGCACTCTTATTCCCTGTAGCACAATGCAAACAATAGAACTGTTGCAACCAGTCTGGCCTGTCAAGTAGAACCGGACGAAACGATAGGTTACCTTCGGGCCACCTTCCTTATCTCTGGTTAAAACAAACTAATCTAACTAAGCGCACGAACGAGGAGTTCGGCTCGTGCAGCTCGACAGCCAAGAAGATCCTCTCTATTATAATGTATAACAAAACTATCATTTTTACCTTTGCTACTTATAGCAAAGCATGTAACGGTAGTGCTCGTTAATAGCCCCAACGCTCAAAAGTAAGGACCTTCATTCCAGAGAAAGTATACTTTAGCCTGACAAGCGTCCGCATAAGATGTTACCATATCCTAATCGTCATGTAAACGACAAAACTATAGTTATTAGGAAACATTTAAGAGGCAATACACTTTTTTCAGTATCTGTGTATTGTGACGACCCCTTTTTACGCCGATTATATACAACAATGTCGCCTCAACGTTACGTTTCTGTTAATATCTCATTTCCCTCGGATCGTTTCTGTATGCATGCGTATAAATCGGAAATAATTCTCAGATCAAAATCAAGAAACTTACGAGACGAAGGCTGATGCCCGGAACTATCTCTGAGCGAATTATAAAATCAGATTTCGTTCCTATGATCGTTTACTCCAAAAAAGCTTTATGCGTTGAAATACCTAAGACAGGTTTATCGGATCACAGGTTATATCTAAGAAAATTTACTACGTAAACGAAACGCAAGGAACATAAGCCACACGTCCATTACTCGGCGTTAACAAGACGTTACGCTATGATATGAGTGTTTTATATACATAGTGCACTGCGATGCGCACTTTATGCGGAAGGTCTTTTATGGGAAAATAGACCGAATGAAAAATTCTGCAGCGTATCGTTTGTGTATATAACGGAAGTGTTTGTCAATTGCCTAATTAGCTTATAGCAGATGAATGAAGTTTGAAAGGACTATACTAATTTTAAATTATTGTCCAGTTTAACTTTGTTTCTTATTTCGTATTCTCTTGTTTCCCGTGTTCTTGTTCTTAGTACCTAATTCACTAGCCGTCTAGCGATGTCTTCAATGTTCAAGAAGTACAAATTTTAACGAGGTCGCTGGTCAAACAGACAGAAGGTCACAGTATAGGAATTGTTGTAGTATACAAAAAAAAAAAAAAGGAAACTGCTGACGACAGATTGAGACAGTTCGAAATGCAAAAAATGTTCGCGTAGCGAATGAATCCATCCCGTATTCGTTGAAGTTTTCCCATCATCAAAATTCGCGTCTTACTCTTTCTCTTGACCGAAATAAATCGTCCATCACCCAGGATAGCGTCGTAGCGTTTCACTGCTCAGCGAAAAGCTTTTCCAGTTCTTCGAAATGAACAAATGACGGCCGACATGATAAAACATTACCTCGAAGCTGAAATGTACGTTCTTGGTTTACATGATGTGTGTTGTTTGATCCAGTTGAGAGACGATACCACAATACAGAGCACACGTTTTCTTGATAACGTTATATAACTAAATATTAACTTTATTTGGCATCAGACATTGACATAGCAACAGATACGGCAACGTAAACATTAACAGAAATGTGCCAAAACGTTTCACTCAGCTGACACTTTATACAGGGGACCGAATGAGCAATATTATCTCAAAGAATTGTTTTCATCTCACTCGTCACAGATGACAATTCAAATGTATAATTTGTTCATGCTTCGTCTCGAGAGCAGAAGCGATTAGTTATAATTCGAAGAATCCTATTAATATGTCGAAAACGTTTTATCGATAGGACGAGGAACAGTATGGTGCCACAAAGGACAAACACAGTTGGTGACAAAATTCAAAGAACCGTACTATTTTGACTACTTTCCGTGTATTTTCTGCTCCAGTTAGACCTTGTGCGGCACGTCCTTCCTTTTTCAGATACTATAGTTCATTTAGGACAGCAATTTCTTTCGGCTCATTCATTCTGAACATGCTCTAGATATAATGACAATCGATTTCGAGTAAGCAAGACATCTAAGTGCACGGACCAACCACTTACTTCAAGTTCAGAATGGAACTCATTGAGAAGGTTCTGTCTGTAGAGGCAAACGTTGAATTTTACGACGTTGTTCTCTATATACCATATAAGTTGCATCGGCGGTTGTAACTGTCAAAGAGCTATAATAATTATGCTGATTGTAATTATAGTAATTAATAGTTTAGGAGATGGCAGGATTGGGCGTAGTTGGTTTTGGTCTAGAATGAGGTACTCTAAGCACAACTCGGACGGGTCCGCCGCTTGCCCCAGCGATTTTTAAGGGCATCACAAAAGCATAGGTGCCCAATTTGGGGGCCTGATCGATGTGACTACCCAGATTCTCGAGGATGTATACGTTCTTTTTAGCGAACGCTCTGCAATACAAAATGCATCAAGAATAGCATCGATAAACGAACAACAGTGTTTCGCTTTTCTCTATCCTTAAAAAATACGTTTTGAAACTTTAGGTTGTGAAAGCGACCTAATAAGATAACAAAATGAACGGTGCGGTTCCTACGTGAACGGCATGTTGGAAAATGAAACTTGTGTTAATTCCCAATACGACATGGTGTTCGTCTATTGACAAATGTTAAAATTACTAATTAGAGAGAGCCGAACCAAACGCGGTAATGAAAGACCCGAGTAAAGCTGATTTAGGGGTGATCGCTTACTCATGTCAGCAATAGTTCATTTAAGACAAGCAACAACTTTGCCCTCTGAGGTAATACCTAGCGTAAGTAAACTGACAAATAAGCTTCCGCGGTTCGGAACGTACAAGTCGGGGCAATTAAGTGACACCCTACCGGACGAAATCACTCTTAGTTAGTTGGCCAAAAACCTGGAACAAACGTCTGACACTCAAATAGAAGCTAAAGTTTTAGCTGATTTTGTTTGGAAGTATATTTAGCTATATAATTAAGCGTAAAAAACCTACATAGATTCTCCAATTGTCCTGCTGATCCCTCTTCTAAATGCAATTGTTTTTTGTCAAAATGCTAAACAACAAAGTTATTTGGTTTAACGATTGAAACAACCCGTTTCGGCTGAGATAGGAAAGAGGACTTGATTAAGACACGTGGTGGCACTCCCCAGCTGTTTTTCAGCGAATGTAGAAAACACTCAGAAATGCAAGGAAAGCTGAGCCAAGGCTATGATAAAGGCAGAAGTCAAGCTTAGCAAATATTTTCTCTTGTCCTGTTAGTAACTGTAAAACGGTTTATAGCCTGTCAGCTAATTGATGATTACAATACATCTTTTAGGCGCAGTACATACCGATGTCCCATGAGCGATGGGTAACCATCGATGGAGGGCGAATCAATGCCTACGCCGACAATGTCACGGTTGTGAACTAGCCAACGGGCGGTCTTGGCCCCCATCGATGGAAACACTCGTGTTGAATTGCCATTTTGTCGACCGAAGTAACCTTCGCGGTTGCCCCATAACTATAAAAGTGATTGAGCAATTAGTAAAAGAACGTTTGGTCTTTAGCGATAGGTTGTTTATGTCCAACGAAACGCGCAGTTCAACGTACATGGATATTATGCGTAAGTAAGTTCATATATGGTGTAATAAACAGATACTGTGGTTGTATTATATTTTTTTGACTCTTCTTATCGTTTTGCTTTTGATCTTCGAAATAGATATTTTTTTTACCGCATTTACAATTATAGCTTAAAGTTGCCTATAAATTTATATCGGGTTCGGCCATCAGACGGTAGAGTCTGCTATGTTGTATTTGCAGGATGGAAAAGGGCCCTCATTGAAAAAAAATACAAACCATATGATGTCCAGTACGAATGATGATGAGTGAATTATTCGGCAGTGGACCGTGTCCGTTCTCCCACAGCTGAAGGTCGCGAATACTGAGAAGGTAGCCACGATTTTTAACGACCTTTTAAATCAATGCACAAAACTTTAATTAAGATAAACCGGCAAAAAGTTATACGATACGGTAAATATACGAAATTTACCTTCATCGTCTGCACGTACAAACTATAACAAAATGCAACTTTGCTTTAGATACATGTTTTTCGTATAGGGATAAAACGCCAGATTTGAAATTTCTTCTTCGTTTGAATCTATTTCATGACTGGCTTTTAAGAGCCGGTACTTCAAATGTCGAGATAAGCATTCTTTAAGCGGTGCCGCGATCAATTATTCTATACAGCTTTTTACAGTTGCAAAGGAACAAATATAAGCCTAGAAAATAAGAGCTATCCCGCGAGGGTACGCGCTACAGGTACGTATACAAGGCACAACAAGAACCTTGATTTGTCAAGTTTGCTGAACAAGAAGATATATAAGAAGTAAAAAAAAAAAAACCGGAGTGGAAAAGGATGGGCAAAGTGGATAGGGTAGAGGGAAAAGCTACGAGTTACATAGAGCTGGATAGCGTTCTCTACCAGCGATGCTTAATGCTAGTCGATCCATCGCTACATTGACAAACGTCCATATCGCTAGAGTTTAAATGGAGAAGGAAAACAGAGTTCAGAATGTAAAAATGTCTAACCTTCTTTTTCACATCTATGATCACAGTAGGAATGTTAAATAATCTTCGAAGAGGAATCTGATCAAGTGTCCATCGTTTCGGGTTAAAGTGTCGAGGTGCATCGATGTGAGTTCCGCCGTGACTTGCCGTGCACAATCGGTCCACTTGGTAGAAATCCTTCGCAGTTGTCCCCTACGTGAAAGTATTATGAACGACAGGACCCAATCACACGTTTCGAAAATACTCAACGACAGATCATGATTGAGCGGCGCTAACTGCGTATTGGCTGGTTATGCGATGATCGTTACGTAACTATACCTCGTGTATACATATATGGCTCTGACAAGCGAATCCAGCGGGCTTTGAATTAGTCAGGCTGGAACGATAGTTCTTGAAAATTTGTCATAGGTATTGGGATTTAAGTCGGGAGAAAAAGCGGGATGAAGCCAACGTTGGATATTCCTTTGCTCAATACAAGAGGTAATTAAGGCGTGGCGATGGGGCATTTTTAGCTAGAGATCAGACTGCGTGCTTTTGATTGCGTTCCAGCGGTCCTAAAGAATCGGACTGCATGTGCTATTTTACTCTTATCGACTGTCTCATGGTAACAGATCTTCCTAATGCGCATTGTAAATACTTCCTTTATCTGACAACCGAACCTGCTCGACACTGCCACCGACCTCGATTCTTTTCTAGGAGAAGGTCACTCCCTCGCCTGATGCCTCTCCGGCTGGCGATAGAGGTTGAACTGTGCTTCGTTTATGGCGACCTTATGCTCCACGGGGTTCTTTGTTGATGAAAATTCTGTGAATTTACGTGGAATTCACCACGCGCACTTCTAACTGACCTGGCGTCAATTAAGGGGGTACCCATATTTGACCCAGTTTCCGAATGTTCGGGGTTTCGGTTATAATATTGTAACACGTTACCTATGAAATTCCAGCTTTAGTCGACAAAGCCGTTAAATCCCGACGTCGGCTTTTATGAAAAACCTCCCCAATTGCGGCAATCTTATTCTTGGGGTCCCGACACGTGGTCACCCCTCGCTGGCCTTCAACACTCTAATCCTTGTACGTGAAATGTTTGCACAATCCGCGCACTGTGTGTTCGCTTAAGGTCTCTTTGTCTGTCGTCTTGACCGATCTTCAATAAACCTGCGCAAAAATCTGATTGATTTCCCTTCAAGTAAATTCAACTCGTTTTATTTTACAAGTTTCGAGAAGGCCAGAATATTTGCCAGCCAAATATCGTTGTCTAACTACGTGGCGTTCAAAGTTGTTCGATTTCAAAGTCCGCAGATTTGTCTATAACAGCCTCATGCATATATATATGTTTGAATATGATATGATATGGTAACTCACTTAGAAGAGGGCACTTAAAGACGGTACGAATACACTTTGTTATTTGTTTCTTCTATCTATTCAATTGTATACGAGAAAGAACGCGACCATATTGTAGAGGACAACGACAGAAGCGCCCCCTAGCATAGCGGTTTGTTAAATTCATATAGATCCTAATCATGTTATTAATTGCTACTGCTGCCGTTATCGTCATAGTGATTGAAAGTGGCGCTGCGGATAGTAGTAGTAGTAGGAGTAGGAGGAGCAATAGCAATACCTCGTTCGAATCGTGACTTGTTGCTTTTGTGTTCGGTGTTACAGGCATCGTCGTAACTATCGTTGCCGTTTCACCACCAGCGGTAGTAATCTGCTAGTCACGGGCGTGACGGAAAGGACGTAATCTAACCTTGTACAAATAACAAGCAGCCAAGTGGATGTTGGCAGTGATAGCACCCTACTTTGCTCTGTTTAACCTGACTCAGTTGTGGTCAACGCGGTGCTGTGCCCCGGAGATCGAAATAGCCATATTATCACCACAGCTTACGCCGGTTGGCAATGTCGATATGATGCCACACAAAACGTGTTACATACCACTGTACAATCTTCTGCGAGATGCATATCAATATGGAAAAACGGAGAGCGTCTGCGGCAGAGCATACCGGTGACGGTGTATTTTGTCTGCGAGTTACCTTACACCGTCGAATATGGAGGGAATAGAGCACTATCTATGATTGGAAAAGCCAGCGGCTTGAAACTGAGGTGTCGAACGTTACCTCGTGGAACATCTTTAAAGGTCGAGGCAAATGAATTTTTTTATTAATTGAAAAAACTAAAATAGAGTTGGGTTTAAATGTGGACCCGACGACCAGTTATTGAAAATTTGAATTTCAAATAACATTTTTTTTTCGGCAGTTACATTCTTCCTTCTTTTTTTGTGTACGAAAGAGCAAAGTAAGCCTCCGCAATTTATTCTAATTGTCCTCTTACTAGTAGGTTTTCTTCGGAAATCTTTTTTTTTCTAAATTTGTAGTTTCGTAAAATCTTCATGAGCTGCCAGCACTGCTGCTTCCGCATTCCGTCGCAAAGTCAAGCAACAGGACGTTAGGTGGAGTTTTTTTCCATAACCAGATACAAATAAGTCTGTGCAAAAAGCATCTAAGTCAATTAGCTTGCCCAGACACGCGGAATATATGTCAAACATGGCTAGATTATCCTTCAGCAATAACTTCGTACTCGTTCAAAACATGCGAATCTTAGCCAATCTACCTTGCATTCATAGGAGGCTATCATATTATATTTTAGTGACTATTTGGTTTCAGTCTGCTAGAAAAAAATGGTGGTTTATTTACGCGCAGGCGTTCTTTAAGTACTATCGGCCGAATTTAATTAAGACTTAACTTGACATCAACGTTTTTCACCACAATTAATTAGACAAAGAAATTCTAACTTAGCTGATCAAAAAAGAAATCCTATTAATATGGTTGGACAGGGCTGAATTTAGATTTATGAAATTCTCTACCATTTTTGCTTTTTACCTTTAAGTGTAAAATGAAATGAAGTAACAGAGGAGGCAACTTCAACACCATACTTAGACTTCCTCGGCCGACGTTTTCTAAGTCGAATTTTATACATCGAAACTATATTCGTATATCCAAGTGGAAGGCCTGTCACTGAAGGCGTTTGAAGTGCATAAGGCCCAAAGGACTGGCTCATCTTTAGCTTCCAACATTGACAGTACACAATAAAGTGAGGTGATTTCGTTCCAAAAACACGCATCGGCTGAGACATCTCTTAGCAATGCCAACATTCAAAACAACAGGGTCTCAACTATAATTTTATAGATAAAGAAAGACATTGTACTGCGCAGCCGGCCGCAAATTTATAATCCAAGAGTCCGTCATCAGCGTACAAACACTTCGATTGAGTTATATGATGAAATACACTGTTATTGAGTAGTACTGATGTTTGAAGGAGAAACGCCAACAGGTTGAGCTTAAATGTCCACAGACCATCTCTGTTATTATTATCCAGTATCTGTTGGTTCTGAAGGGGTAATTAAAACGCATTTGCAATATCAGTAGTATATAAAAATCAAAATTCGCTAATTTATGTATGAAAAAAAGTAACCTAAAGACAGTTCTCAGAAAAAATATAATTATTGATCGTAAACACCTGCTAGTTACTGCTAATATAAAAGCTACTCTTACTGCGTCTACTAACAATTGTAGATATATTTAGGTCAAAACTTTCGTTGTCATCCCAGTAAATGGTTGAAGCGTCGTAGGCCCAGCTGAGATCGATGAGGTTTTCATTTGTTGATATCTCCCAGGGGAAAATCGAGGTCTCTGGTACCAATGACTCTCTGTGGCATTCTCGAATCCGTGAACGTTGAGTTGCGTTTTTAGATGAGCCACGACCTTGTTCTAGCTGAAGTGTGACGAAAAATTTTCAGTGAATTAATGAGATATCTTTATTTAGATCTAAACGATTCAACAGCGTTGAATAAATAAAAGATATTCGAACAACCAATATTTATCATCGTGTGTCCTCTGTCTCTCTAACTTAGTTTCGATTAGTCCTTCAGGTAACCTTTATAAATGCAGTGTCGAAATGTTCTTATTTCTCTTTCAATTTCTTATTTCTCTAAAAACTCTTTCAAACATCATTGCTCGTGGAAAAGCCTCGTTGGTTGCGACGCGAAAATCCTACGTCTCCTAAGCTAAAACGTTTTACTTCAATAGTGCCTTTTAAAAGGTATATGTGCTGTTATTTTTCTCTGGAAATATAGATCCGCAAGTACAATAGCATGTACGCTATGTTTTCTATATAACGATATACCTGAATGGCCTTTTGTTCAAAACTCATCAGTAACGTTTTGGCTATCCAGTTTCACAAATGCTTTAGTTTTTCCGTGCAGAGTTGCCCTCAACGATACAGTTTCTTTAAGGCTGTAATTGGATTTCATCGTGTACGTTTGTCCAGGCGTAGAAATGTTCAGACAGTCTATCTAAGATGCAGCTACCATATTCTCTAAGGGCTGTCACGAAACGTATATTGTAATTAACCGTATAAACAAATCCGCTGTTTTTGATCGTTTCTGACATTATAATCAATTAGTTTGGGTAGTAAATCAAGTTTCGTTGTTTACATGGGCGCAATAAAAGGTGTTCAGAGCAATTTTTCTAAAGATGCGCTTGTTACAAAAATATATCTTCGTATCAAGAACACATATGTGGTTGATGTATCCGCTGATAGCGTGGTACATGGGGTAACACAACTTTGAGCAGAGTTTTAGATTCGATCGATATATATGTATATAGTAAGTGCTTACCCATCAAAGCAGAATAACATCAAACGTAATAATACTAGAAAAAGTCGCTGTGAAACATCTGCACTTTCGTTAAGCACAATCTTACTAATATAATTATCTAAAATTGTGCAAGATTTTTGCCGTATCGTATCGTATCGTATGGATTAACGAAAAGAAACAGTAACAAAAATAATAAGTGCAATTTGAAAAGCATATCTTGTTCAGGCCAAGCTACAATCGAGTACGGACCTAACCAAGTGAGATGATCTGAAAGCGCCTAAATATAGAGACAATTCGATTTCGGACGAGAAACAGCGAATACTCACTATGGTTATTGCCAGAACGATAATAATAAGAGGCCTCATCTTGGCGTTTCACGTAGCTCGGTTCTGTCGTTGATGCGCGGACTCCAGAAGAAATCGAGGCCCACAAGAGGCAAGGCCAAATAGCGAGCGTTCTGGGCAGTGTTTTTCTAAAGAGCGTTTTTTTTTCTCAGAAACTGAAAGATTTAGCGGTTGATGGTGCACCTATCGTTGTCTCTGAGAGCCACCTTTGGTTGTCGGTGAGGCACAACGGACCTGTAGGGAAACAGCGTTGTAGTCAGTATTGCCGACAGGGGCATGAAAGAAACGCCACGTACGCCGCTATTATTCGTACTGACTAGCCAAATTCTGCTTCTACGAAACGCAAAGATTTGGCTATGTGAACCCTGGTCCTGGGGCCGATAACGAAGACGGGAGACAACCCACGAAAACTATAATGATTTTCTAACGCAATGCCGATGCTGAGGGACCCACTCGTAAATCAATGAGGTATAGAATCGAGCAGTGAGCGAATCCAGCATGTAGCTCAAGAGCGAGAATGCCACGCAAATTCGTAGTGTCGAAATTGTTGCTAGCGCCAACATCGGCAAGCACGCTCACGAAGGGGAATTAGGTTATACTAAGAAATTCATCTCTGTCCTGTTTCTTGTTTGGTGTGCAAAGCAGAACTTGTGTTAAAACACAAGTTCTGCTTTGTACCAACTTTGCCTTCCGCGATTTCGACGGGTACAGACTAACCACAGAGCGTATATGAATGAATGTCAGAGCTAAGTAATCGAAAAGCTAACTAATTACACTATCCGCCTGGAATATATTTGATGTATTCTACCCACACGCGCCAGGAACGATAAGTTTTTGGCGGACATACTGGCGCTAGGCTCCACATGAAAAAGTTGGTACCGATATCTACGATGTCTATTTAATAGGTTCTGCGCTTAAAACGACGTTGGAAGAACACATTTCAGGGTCGCGAGAAAACGATGTTGTGTGATCTGTTATCGTTAGTCAATTGATTTTTATTAACATCTTCTGTTATACGCTTCTCTTGATTTTTAGCCTAAGGTAGTTATGGTGTTTAGGATGCTCTAAAGCCGGTCAAATATTCGTAAAATTATGAATGTACTACTATTCCGTACGGACTGTTCATCTAAGAAGTAGTAACGGTAGTTTCTCCGCGTCGAAACGCGTTACTGGATAATAGTAAACTATGAAAAGGTTAAGTGCTTAAACTACTATGATGGGAAGAATGAATGGGAAGAAACGGCACGTAAGAAAATTCGGGAAACTTACGTTTCAAAATCAATTGAAGGCACTGGCGCGTTGGGCACTCAGTAACACTTTGACGTCCTGAGAAAGCTTAGATAAAATCACTTTTAAAAGCAAAAATTAATTTACGTAAATTGCTTGGTCATCTCAGTTTATGTTGCTTAATGGGCGTGTTCCCACTGGTACGTACGACAAATACACAGACTCAAGCGGACCAGCACGCAGCCACAAGCTAAGATAACCACCACTAGCTATGCAAACGGCCTTTTCAGCGTTTCTCGCTAGTCTCTGTTTTTCCAGATCCAGATCGAAAGACAGACGACATCTGATACAGCCGTCGTCGTCAGATGCTGCTCCTGCCAGCGTTTGCACCACAACGCTGAATGTTGTGAATGCTGTGGGCGTATGGCTGGACGACGTGTGCCCGGAGTTGTTACCTCGACTTGGAGGTAGAGGGTTGCCAAAAAGGGTTGGGTCGCCTTCGTCGCGGTTCGATCAACGGCTCCTAGAATTCGTCTCATTTCTCCTTCTAGTGACGGAGAAACAGCAGCCTCAGCTAGAGGCAAAGCCGCCACCTCAGCTACAGCTGCCATCTCTGGCGGTGAGGGCGCGTTGTTTGCCGCCCGGATTATCTTTTACGCGCGTCGTGCCAAGCCCCAGGAGTCAAGCAGCAGACATTGTCGGGGTCCGTTCGCATGCGTCTTTCCCGTTTTCTTTCGTGCCCTGCCCGTGTGGGGTTCTCCGGCCGTCAGCAAGTATTTTTCCTATCTCCTCCTGCTATCGTGTGCCGTGCTGCTCCTATAGAAACGGCGACAGCGGATGCAGCAGCAAAGCCTTCCGTTGTTCCCCCGTACGTCTTCTCTATGCACTTCACTTCCAAAGCCATCGTCGTTGTCGTCATCGTCCAAAGTCCTTTTTCCCGAACGAACGCCTGCGCACGCGTTAGCTACAAAGAGGACGCGGTCCCGGCCGGTCGCACGTTGTTGAGGTTCCGTCGGCGTCTCGCTGATTCCCTGTCAAAGAGACGTTAGCTTGACGTAGAGAACGTTCAGAAGCACCAGACGGTGCCGTGTCTCCCTCCGAAACTGGATTGGAAGAAGTCGGTCGTGCAAGAGAATGAGGTCTCTAGACCGTCAAAGAGGTCAAGGGGTCACGCGCTATTTTTAGCTTTTTAACCCATGTAAAACCAGACGACGACGACATGTACGCACTTACGCAAACACCCAGTGCATATGGATGACGATGTTCGTCGACGAAAATATACGAATAGAATACGCGCTATAAAGACGTTGAACGCACGGCGTGCTAAGAGTTTTAAAAGGCCAGTAAGTACGTTACGACGGTAAACAAACGCGCAGATCTCCGTTCATAAGTGTTGACCTAAACATTCGACTCATCTAAAAGTCAGGTGTATCGTTACGAAAGCCTAAGAAGTGCGCCGGCTCCTTTGTCATCTGCCTACGGAATTATAATTTGTGCTAGCAAACAACAATGCCATCATAGTGCAACTAGTTGACGACAATATATCCATAGGAGCGCTATAGGAAAACATCAGTTACATTCTTATAGTTTGAATTATCCAGAATCAAACCTGAGCATAGGACAAATGAGACCTTTTGGTGTCATCATTAGAGTCGGGGCTAAACCAAAGTAATTGATGATTGAGTTGGCAAACGTCTTGAAGCTAAGTGAGTTGTCGTCTATTCGTATTAATTGGTTATGGGTAAGAAAATTTTTCGAGCTATTAGGACAGTCTTTGCTGTGGGTGTAAGGCAAGATGGACTACTGCAACAGAGAACACGAGTGTTTTATGTATAGTTGATGCCTTAATTATATTTGACGAGCTGGATTTCGAAGCGGATAGAATAGGTATCGATTACAAGTCTTACGTTACATGAAAGGACATCACAGATAATGACCACCGAAACCTGATCCGTATCTTGAAGGCAAGCAGTACAAGGGAGGAACGCCAAGAAGACTGCCTGCAGTTTGCAAGGAAAGGGAGTTTTCATTCCTGCTTCATCACTGTGGTTCGGGCTTCGACAGAACTTCGAATGATCGTAAGGTCAGCATAGAATTGTAACTCAACACTGTGGCCTGCATAGATAGCAACGTAACGTTATTTGCTATGATTGCTCGCTTGATTTATATATATGTTTACGATGAATTTTCAACGCCTTTGATAGATGTATATTTAGTTAGCAGATACGGGAGTGAAGCCATTGGCATTTTGCTTTCAAGCAAGTAGTTAGACCTTACGATAATTTGCCACAAAAAATAGGACGGCCTGTATACAGCTGTGTAGGCTGTAAAGTTTGCAAACCTCTCCAGGGCATAGTGACGCTCTAAGTTTGGGTAGCAAATATGAACACGCTTACATATTATCAAGGTATGTAGACAATAAAGTTGTTGTTGTTGTTATTGTGTATAACAGGAAAACTCGATACAACGGTCGACGCGTTCATTTAAGAAAGTCGTCTCCGGGAAGGCCCAAGCGTTTATCGTTGAGGACACACATATTGATAAGCATCCTCGCACAACAGCTTGCAGATGCAGCAACGTCAATTTTAAAGCTTTTTTTCCTAAATCTAACTCTAAGACTGCTCTTAAACGTCTATTTAAATATAGACGGTTAGAAATATTCCCAATCTTTCTACTAAGATAGTTACGACCATTATTGAGTAGACAGGACATTCTGATGAAGACGTTTGTCTAAACTGTTTCGTTGCACAGAACGCAACGTTAGAAAAACGTTCCATAACAGACACCATTTTGTATTAAAACATATATCCACATCAAGCTAGCAACGACGTTAAATGGGCTTCAATTGCACGTAAAGCGAAACTAAGTCTCACTCTCTACGTGAAGATAATGAGAGTTATCTGGCTCTTTCAACGTTAACTGATCATCCTCAGCAAGTTAGATAAGAAATCTCTGAAACAGTCGATTTAGGAGATAAAAAGTTTTCCTCAGAGAAACCTACTGCATATATCTACCAAATTTTCGGTTCTGTTTCCGCCGTTCTTCTAGTAAGTATTTTTCAAAAAAAGAAGTGAAGAACTGACAGACCACGCGAAACAAGTTTTAGCAACCAAGAAAATTCCAGCCGGTCTATATATATATATGCCTTCTTGCATGTAATAGATACTAGTGCGCAAAACGAGCCTCGTATCCAGCCTTTGAAAGGCCGTAGGCAGAACAAGCGAGTGAAGATTACCATGGGTTTGCGTGTTCATTAAGCGATCGATCTAGGTGTTTCCTCGCGCTCTTCTTCGCAATGGGTCAAAGGGCTTGACCACAATGCGTTCATAAACCCACAAGGAAAATAACCAGTGTTATTATTTGTTGATTCTTTAAGTAGCTAATGGTTTAATGTGTGATGATGTGAATATTTTATAGAGTATTATAATATTATATATTTATACACAGTGCATGTTTTTTGTACAGCGTAAGCTGCGAATACTGAACGAAAGTGTCTCACGAAGTTACCCCGGCGTATGTACAAGGTGAAGGCGATGAAGGCTTTAATAAAAAGCAGAGTAATCAAACTATTTACATACAAAGGGTGGCCCAGGCGTACTGAATAACTAAAAGTAAATAATGCGTACCATTAATTCGAATAAAATATACTACTGCTCTGAAGAAGGTCGTATTTCATTCGACCTTTTTTCAAGACATTACCTCCTCTATTGCCATCATTTAATACGTATTTGATACAAATCTAATACGGTTCTTAGGATCTAGGTAGGATTATTTTAAAATTCGCTATATTGTCTGTGATTATAGCTGCTAAAACTGTAGATGACTTATTACAGGATTATTAAATTCGATAATAAATAATATATACTTTGAATTAAGACGCAACAGTTGATCATGGCATTACTATGCTCTATAGCTAAAAATGTATCTGTATTTACTTGGACAAAATTAAAGAGCGGGACATTTTAATAGAAAAACCCGTTCCTTCATTTTTAAAGACCATTGAAAGCTTCATAACTTCCCAGCTCAAAATTTCTGTTGACACTTTTCACTGTGTGATACGTTTATCGGCGACTATCCGCAAAATGGAACTTTATACGGAGCCAGGGAATGGCAACTTTGATTGTAAGTATTTTTTGGAAAATTTTAATGATCTGTTAGAGTCGTGTGGGTAGCTCGTACGTGGGTAGATCGCACTAATGGATCAAGCAAGACTTAATGGCAAAAAAATTTCCATTGAGCAAACGACATAATAGAATCTTTACGTTTGCCTTCCATTGGTCATACAACTAGCTAGATGCCTAGCCCTTTTTAAATAAAAAATGATTTCACTTCAAAATGGGTATGAGATGTTAGGTAGAATTATGTTTCACTGGTTGTCAATTGCTTTTTAACCCAATCCCATTGTTAAAGGGCCGCTCTATTTATGGGAACCGCTGAGGAAAGAGCTCGGTGATTCAGCTCAGGTTTCGCTTACAGGTATAGCCCTAGACGCATTAGAGGTACCATAAGCACTGTCCTAGCAGAAAGGATAAGGCAAAAGTTCTGCCAATAAAAAATAGATTTTTCCAAAAAACCCTGACTACGTGCTTAATGGGGGCCGCGATCCTGAAGCAAACAAGCTTGTTAGGATATGGTATTTCATCTTGGGATAGGTAGGATATTCATCTTGGGATATATCGCGTCAGACCTAGAGCTAAACATATGCTCGAACTTGTCTTTGGCTCTCAGTCCGCTAGAGTATTATGCATTGGCACGGTATAACAAGATTACAGAGATGTATGCATAGCTCTGTTCAATATATGCCATTGTGTGTATGGGAAATGGGCGCATTCAACAAAAAATATAGATACCAGTGTGAAATCAAAATAACCTTCTTCAAGGTCCATGTCGAAATTAATTTGACATGTTAAAACTAGTATTTGATATGTGCTATATAAAAGTTGCGTTAGGTATCCACAACTTCAGATCTACGAATGCTTCCACTGTTGTATTTGTTAGGAGTTCGTTGTCTTATACAGCTTTCAGTAGAGCATGACGCTTTCTAAAATAAAAATATTAAAAATAGGCAAATGGGCCAACTTCCATTTCTACTAA